CCGTACAATAAACGCTTTCTAAAATAATTAACAAAAAGTTTTACCTTTGAGAGGGGTTGGGGGACGGAGGGGGCATTTGCGCCAAAAATCCATTTGGGAATATTATTTACTAGATAAAATAAATATTTAGGTTGAAAATCAGCCAAATCGGAGGTGATAGCTTTTCGGAAGTTTATCCGTTACTTTTTTAAATTGAAACCACAGACTTTTATATTCTGTCCAGCAAGAGAAGGACTCGCAAATTTACGCATAGAAGTATAGCGGCCAAAGTGGGGAGAGCGTTGGCATTTGCAACGCAGTATTGTACTGCACAAGCAGTTACAGTTTTGTGGAGTGGGGGGCTTTCTAAGCGCCCCGTGACGGGAGACCTGCGTGAAACGGACGAGTTTTCGTCTTATTCTCGCTGACCCGCTCCGCGGGTTCTTCTCTCGCTGGACAGAGTTTATAATACTATATATACTATACAGAGTTTATAGTCATGCGAGAGAAGAACTCGTGGGTAGGACGAAAACGCGTCCGTTTCGGGCATGTTTCTCCTCACGGGGCGCTTAGAAAGCTTCCCACTCTACAGGACTGTAACTGCTTACAATGCTGCAGTACAATGCTGCGTTGCTTATGCCAACGCTCTTCCCACTTTGGTCGCTATACTTCTCCTATGCGCAAACCACGGGTCCTTCTCTCGCTGGACAGAGTATAGATATATAATACTAGACTGCTAACTTCTTTGTGGCAGGACGTGACGCGGCAGTATTTGCAAGTCTGCTGTTTCAAGCGACATATGAACCCCTTATTTGCCAAGTGGTGCAAGTTTAATTTCTAAATTTGTAGGAAATTAATATTTTGCGTTTGGGCTGCCTATCGTTTACTCCTCCAACTTTGTACTGCTCTCAGCAGCTTATTTATGAAGTTAGACTTACTTGTTTACTAGATGCAGACAATCCTTCAGAACACATTTCTGGTAAGTTCAAAATCTCTAATTTTGGACTTACACTTGAGAAATAAGGGGCTCATATACTATAGCACTCTTGTAAATGATTGGTTAGAAACATTGGTTAGAAACAATATGCTCCAATCTATAGTATTACGTTACGTATACTGTAAATTGGAGCGAGTAGGAGCATGTTGGGGCATTGCGACGCGAACAAACCTTATTTGTCACTAATGTACTGATATGTACAATCTTATCTGTGTGGCAGACTTACAAATAGCTACTATCTCTACCACTGCATTGACTGTCACTTTTTAGATAATTAGAAACTAAAGCAGTCTAGTATTAGGTCTTACGCACAATAGAGAAAATATTAGGAATAAGAATAAATATTAAATATTAGAAGTAGGAAATTGATATTATTTCATTTTAAAACAAGAAAATGAAATGGATTAAAATCATGAATTCAAGATTGTGGACGAAAATTTTCAAAATGGTTCAATTTTTATACAAATTTGTATATAGAGGTTTTTTGGGTCGCTGATTACAAATCTTTTATCAGATTTCCCGAATTTAAGATGGCGGATCCAACATGGCGGATGGAAATTCTCAAAATTTTTATTTTGTCCGCCATATTAGATCCACCATCTTGAATTCGGGAAATCTGATAACAGATTCGTAATTAGCGACCCAAAAAACCCCTATATACAAATTTGTATAAAAATCGAACTATTTTGAGAATTTTTGTCCGCCATCTTGAATTCGGGAAATCTGATAACAGATTCGTAATCAGCGATTAAAAAAACTCTTATATACAAATTTTTATAAAAATTGAACAATTTTGAGAATTTCCGTCCGCCATATTGGATCCGCCATCTTGAATTCGGGAAATTTTATGAGAGATTTGTAATCAACGACCCAAAAAAACTCAGTAGACTCATTTTCATTAGGAATTTATCAAAAGAAATTGTGCTCGGAGTAATCGAAAAAAGCGTAACATTAATGGCTTTGGATCGCCATATTGGACGTCGCCATCTTTAATTTCAAAATACTCACTCATACATTTTGAAGCTTAGGGTCTATGGACGCAAGATTTTCACTTCCCAGAGATATCCTCATCTGATTTCGATGCGAAAATATCGATTTAAAAAAATGTTGGAGTGAAAAATCGGGTTTTTTTTAAATAAACAAACATAACTTTTTCGGATCGCATTTTGGAAAAATTCTAAAGACAGATTCTGAAAGTTCAATAAATTTTACGTCAGAAATGATTGTTTTAGAATTTTTTCCGGACCAGTTTAGTAGAAAAAACAGCCGCTGAAAAGTCACGAAAAAACGTCCGTTGGTCCTTAATGGGTTAATCCATTCTGTTCTTGTTTGAAATAAAATAAATCCGAATTGCTCTTCCTAATATTTAATATTTATTCTTATTCTTAATATTTTCTCTATTGTGCGTAGGGCCTTATATATTGAATAAGTATGTGGTTGAAATAGGGAGCTTTCCATCTAGGAGACACAAATCGACACTGTGTGACACGATCAAACACTGTGCTTAGATACTTGATGGAACGCGTTTAGTTCTGAACTAGACCGCTAGAGTCTGCTTATGTCTTCCCATGATATCTAGTAAGTACATTTAATTGAAAAATTGGCGTACCAGGAGCATATTGGCATATTTAAAGTACGTACAAATCAACATAACCATCATTTATTATTGTTTACGATTGTGATGAGTATAAATATATTTTGTAGATGGATAAAATGAAAATTCTCTAGAATACCATCCCAAAAATTGGCAGCCATGAACTAGACTCTGTGTTCGACTATGCTCTTCTGCTGTGTCGAACCGTGCCGTGGCGTGTCATTGATGGAAAGCCCTGTCTGACACCGTGTCAATGTGTGTCGCCTAAATGCCTTGATAAAAGCTCCCATAATCAACTCCTATAATCAAATTGTAAAATAGCGAAAAATACCGTTGGTTAGTAACTTGTATAGTGTCGGCTTTGCGTCCACAAGCTCTGGATAGTTTTTTTTATAGCTTTTTTTTTAATCTATGCGAAGTTGCACTGGGTGTTTACGATAATTCAAGTTCGAGTTAGTTTCACTAGGACCAGTGATGCGATATTTCCCACAGCGGTCCCGGCTCCGCTGCCTCACACAACCTTACAGAAGCGCTACGTCACGTATCCGTGTGAGCTCGGCCGTTCAACCAATGGAAGA